GCAGCAGTTTGGTCTATTACAGGGGTATGAGCCCCCCCAGTGCTGTAAATATGATGGAACGGAGAGAAGCCCTGAGTGGTGGTTGCCCTGGTGTGGTCCCACTGAAGGGATTTACAGGAGCCAGGAAATGTTTGCCTCTCGTTCCATTTCCTCGCCTTGCTTAGCCTGCGTCTTGGAAATGGACGTTAGTGCCTTGGCCAAGAGGTAGTAGCTGGGTGCAGCATGCAAGTCAGCAATGTTCAGAGCAGTGCTGGCTGCTTGCTGTGAAACGTTTCCTAACTGTGTCCTGCCCAGGACTCGGCCTTTACGAGTTTATTGGAAAGGCTTCGCTGGAGGGGACAAGGTCTTCTCCCTGCTCTATCATGTGTCCCAGGGCAACTCCGCATTGGCCTTTCCCACTGTTATTTTACAAAACCCACCTTGGAACAGAAATTCCCCTCTACACTGCATGCCACTTTTGCTTTCTTTGATCATCGGGTTTTATGGTGTAGTGTTTGGTGCAGTGGTTAAGTGCGCGGACTCTAATCTGGGAGAACCGGGATTGATACCAGTGCCTCCACTTGCAGCTGCTGGATGACCTTGGGCAAGCCATAGTTCTGTCTGAGCTGTTCTCTCGAGCAGTCCTCGAAAGAGCTCTCTCAGTCCCGCTTACCTCACAGGGTGTCTTGTGGGGAGGGGAAGGGAAAGGAGTTTGTAAGCCGCTCTGAGTGAAGGGCGGGGTATAAATCTAATCTCCTCTTCTCTTCTTCTTTTGGTACCTTCTGAATAGATTTATTTATGGCTGTTCGGTAGTGACTTTGCAGTCAGTACAGTGTTGCCCCCGGGGTGTCTGAATGTGGTTTTGAGCTGCACTTTATCCTCCCAGTTGAGAAAACGTGGAGCACACGCTAGATGCAAAATTGCCCCTCGTCTAGAGCCGCTTGGCCAGCATGGGAGTCGGCCTCATTCAGCACTGTCAGTCCCCCACGTCCTTCCTGATTCCCAGGGACCCAACTCCTGTCTCCCTACATGCCTAGCCTGGCCACCTTGGGTGGTGGGGTGAACAAGGGGCTCGTGAATTGAGCCTCCTAAAGGGGTGCGGGGGCCGTCGCGGGATGCCCAGCAGAGATGAAGATCGGAGGATGCTGCTACTGCTGCCTAGCTTCTGTTTTGGCACGTCGGATAAGGAAGGTGTGTGTGTGTGTGTGTGTGTGTGTGTGGGGTAGAGCACCAGTTTTGCATTGTCATAGCTCCAGGTTGTATTTCCAGAAAGAATCTTCTGGGGAGGAGCAAGGGGCGCTATGGAACGAGTGTTCTGGCCCACAGGCCCCAGAGAGCCGCTGCCAGCCTGATGTTTTGACTTCCACTGGGCCCCAATGTCATTCCCCTGGTTGATTCTTGCAACTAGCTAGGTTGCCAACCTCTAGGCGGGGCCTGGAGACCTCCTGGAATTATAGCTCATCTCTGGATGAGGTGAGTTCCCCTGGAGAGAATGGCTGCTGGGTGAGGGGGGGGGGCCTCTATGGCATTATACCCCGCTGAGGTCTCTCCCCTGCCCAAGCTCCACCCAGAAATTTCCCAAGGCGGCCAGCCTAACAACAACCCAGTGAGGGTGGGTGTGTCTGTGTGAGAGCCCATTGTCACCCAGTGAGCTTCCATGGAGGGAGCAAGGCTTTAGGGTTGTTGGGTGGGTCCCCCTGGCAGGGGGTGAGGGAGGGAGGGTTGCCAGATCCAGGTTGGGAAACTCTTGGAGGTTTCGGGATGGAGCCAGGGGAGGACAGGGACCCCAGGAGAGTAAAATGTCACAGAGTCCTCCCTCCAAAGCGTCCATTTTCTCCATGGGAACTGATCTCTGAAGTCTGGAGGTGAGCCGGAATTCCGGGGGATCCCCAGGCCCCACCTGGAGGTTGGCATCCCTACCTGGCTGTCATGAATTCCTGTTGGGTGATAGTGAGATATTGGAAAAAAAAATGGTATTTAGCAGAGAGAAGTTAGTCCAGCAGAGCCAGAGTAAAATAATTCAGACTGAGAGTCCATGTGTGATTAAAATATAAAGTTTTTACTAAATTCCAGCATGGGGAAGGGTAACTGGGATGAAAATAACAACAGAGCAAAATCTACTACATCCTTACTCTACAAAGACACAACTAGAAGAGAGTGAGTATGGCTACTCTTCTTCTTCTTCTTCAGAACACCAAAGAAAGACGGGAAGAGAGCCATAAAATGGTAATACACCTTGACACTTTAGTCCCAATCAAATTCCTGGATCAGGGAGAAAATTCCCGGGCATTGTACAGCTAAAGAACATTGGTTACATGAGAAACATGTGACTTCCTGTGAGCAACATAAACATTTAACCCCAGATATACTGAGTGTTTTCAACTTGTAATACCCAACAATTCCACGCCTCTCACAGATTGGGGGATGCCAGCCCAGGCGTGGTCAGCAACAGGGGCTGGGATTTCGGCGTCCAGGTCCGAAAATTGCTCTTTTTCAAGAACAGCTCTGACAGAGCTAAGGCTTGCCCAAGGTCATCCAGCAGCTGCATGTGGAGGAGTGGGGAACCAAACCCGCTTCTCCCAGATTAGAGTCCGGCACTTCACCACTACACCAAACTGGCACCAAAAGGCCGCCTTGCGCCTCGTCCCTCGAGGGCTCCCTGCCGGGGCCCTTAGAAGCTCTGCGCCGCCGCCCTCCCCCTTGGCTTCCCCCCGCTGCACTTCCGACGGTTCGGAAAGAGAAGCCGCGAAAAGACGCAACGGAAACCGTGTTTCCTCCCCGGGGCCTGCAGCAGCGGCCCGTTTGCAGGGGGGGGGGGAGCCCCTTTTCTTCCAGCATCGCTCCCCCCCTCCTT